GGGAACAGGTGGCTTCACTAGATTCTGTGGTCGTGGGAGCAGTCTTTTAAACCAGCTCCCCATGGGTACCACTTCCTGCCTTCTTTGCCCACCCCATCACTGCCCTTGATTCAGAGACAGCAAGGCAGGGAGTTCATGTAGTCCTTTGGATTAACCAATAAACTCACTGGCTAATAGTTTAAAGGGCTGTATGCTAACATTCCAAATTGATACATAATCTCGGGATTTTGAAGCCAGTCTCATGATTCTTGATGAGCCTGTTTTGGAACAATTAGAGGAGACAATACCACACCCAGTGTGATCTAGGAAAGGCAAGTTCTCTTGCTGGGCATCAGTTTCCCACTACGGTGTTGGGAATAACCTTCCCTTTCTTCCATGCTTTCATCTCTCTTGCTGGGTAGCTAGTCAGCTCAGCTCCCGGGGGCAGCTCTCTGCCACTAGGGACAAGTGCCAGAGTCAAGATTATGGACCAAAACAAACAAACATAATAATACAAGAATAGCCATACTGGGACAGACCAGTGCTGTCGACAGTGGTCAATACCTGGTGCCCCAGAGGGAGGGAACAGAACAGGGAAACTTCCAGCAATCCATCTCCTGTAACCCATTCCCAGTCCCTGAGAAAGCCTGGGGACACCATTCCTACCCATCCTGCCTAATAGCCATTGACAGACCTAAACTCCCCTCCTGTTCTGAAATGTGATTTGTCCTTTTCATATGTGTTCATTTTTTTTAATTGTATCCTTTGCTATTTATGGTTGTGACTATTTTCTTCCACTATTGATGAAAGCTCATCATCTAATAAACCATCTTGTTAGTCTTTAAAGTGCTACATTGTCCTGCATTTTGCTTCAGCTACCCCAGACTAACACGGCTACATTTCTATCACTAAACTCTATGAACTTATCTAGTTCTTTCTTGAACCCTGTTAAAGTCCTGGGCTTCATAACATCCTCTGGCAAGGAGTTCCACAGGTCATCTGTGTATTGCATGAAAAAAATATTTTAGTTTGTTTTTAGCTGCCTATTAATTTCATTTGGTGACCCATACATCTTATATTGTGGGAATAAGTAAATGAGTTTTCCTTATTCACTTTTTCCACACCACTCATGATTTTATAGACCTCTATCATATCCCCCCTTAGTCTTCTCTTTTCTAAACTGAAAAGTTCAAGTCTTTTAAATCTCGCTTCTTATGGGACCCATTCCAAACCCCTCATCATTTTGGTTGCACTTCTCTGAACCTTTTCCAATGTCAGCATATCTTTTTTGAGATGAGGCGATTACATTTATATGCAGTATTCAAGATGTGGGCATAGCATGGCTTTATATAGAGGCAGTAAGAGTTTTCTTATTCTCTATCCCTTTTTTAATTACTTCTAATATTTTATTTGCTTTTTTGACTGACACTGCACATTAAGTGAATGTTTTCAGAGAACTATCCACAATGATTCCAAGATCTCTCTCTTGAGTAGTTGTAGCCAAATTAGTACTCATCATATTGCACGTATAACATAAGAACATAAGAACATAAGAACAGCCATAGTGGGTCAGACCAAAGGTCCATCTAGCCCAGTATCCTGTCTGCCTACCCCAGAGAGGGTGGACTGAAGACAATGATCAAGCGATTTGTCTCGTGCCATCCCTCTCCAGCCTCTGACAAACAGAGGCCAGGGACACCATTTCTATCCCCTGGCTAATAGACTTTTCTGGAGCTAACCTCCATGAAATTATCTAGCTTCTCTTTAAACTCTATTATAGTCCTAGCCTTCACCGCCTCCTCTGGCAAGGAGTTCCACAGGTTGACTACATGCTGTGTGAAGAAGAACTTTCTTTTATTAGTTTTAAACCTGCTACCCATTAATTTCATTTGGTGTCCTCTAGTTCTTCTATTATGGGAACTAATAAATAACTTTTCTTTATCAGCCCTCTCCACACCACTCATGATTTTATAGATCTCTATCATATCCCCCCTCAGTCTCCTCTTTTCTAAACTGAAAAGTCCCAGTCTCTTTAGCCTCTCCTCATATGGGACCCGTTCCAAACCCCTAATCATTTTAGTTGCCCTTTTCTGAACCCTTTCCAAGGCCAAAATATCTTTTTTGAGGTGAGGAGACCACATCTGTACACAGTATTCAAGATGTGGGCGTACCATAGTTTTATACAGGGGCAGTAAGATATTCTGGGTCTTATTTTCTATCCCTTTCCTAATAATTCCCAGCATCCTATTTGCCTTTTTGACCGCCGCTGCACACTGTGTGGAAGTTTTCGGAGAACTGTCCACAATAACTCCAAGATCTCTTTCCTGATTTGTCGTAGCCAAATTAGCCCCCATCATATTTGGGATTATAGTTGGGGTTATTTTTTCCAATGTGCATTACTATACATTTATCCACATTAAATTTCATTTGCCATTTTGTTGCCCAATCACTTAGTTTAGTGAGATCTTTTGGAAGCTCATCACAGTCTGCCTTGGTTTTAACTACCTTGAGCACTTTGCTATAATTTACAAATTTTGCCACATTGCTGTTTACTGCTTTCTCCAGATCATTTAGGAAGAAGTTGAATAGGACTGGTCCTAGCACAGACCCCTGGCAGACATCACTAGTTATCTCTCTCCATTTTGAAAACTGACCATTCATTCCTACTCTTTGTTTCCTGTATTTTAACCAGTTATCAATCCAGAAAAGGACTTTTCCTCTTATCCCATGACAACTAACTTTACTTAACAGCCTTTGGTGAGGGACCTTGTCAAAGGCTTTCTGGAAATCTAAGTACAGCCTCTGGTGAGGGACCTTGACCACATATGTGCTGATCCCCTCATAGAACTCTGGTATCTCAGTAAGAAATGATTTCCCTTTACATGTTGACATTCCTCCAACAAATTATGTCCATCTATGTGTCTGACAATTTCAATCTTTACTACAGTTTCAACTAATTTCCCTGGTACTAGCATTAGGCTTACCAGCCTATAATTATCAGGATCACATGTAGAGTCCTTTTTAAATATGGGCATCACATTCGCTATCTTCCAGGCATTAGGAACAGAAGCCAATTTAAAGGGTGGTTACAAACCACAGTTAATATTTTGGTAATTTTATGTTTGAGTTCTTTGGGAACTCTTGGTGAATGCCATCTGGTCCCGGTGACTTGTTACTTTTAAGTTTATCAATTTTTTTCCAAACTTCCTGTAATGACACCTCAATCTGGGACAATTCCTCAGATTTGTCACCTAAAAAAATGGCTCAGGTTTTCTGACAGAACTCTGTAGTGTAGATGTACCCTAGTTCACCCAGCTTATTATTTAGACTTCTAGTATTTGTGTATAACCACTTAAAAAAATTGTCACTATTTTTCTGTCTGCCATTTCCTGATGTGTTCGACTCTTTTTCATTTGATTGTATCTCATCTGATCTGACCCATATTTCCCTCTTCTCCTCCTGACTAGAACATAGAGCATCTCCATTATTAGATCTGCCCCAAATGATGTTTCTGTCTGATCCATGTGCTCCTCTGCATCCGTTGGCTTTCTCCGAGCCCTTAGTTTAAAAAATGCTCTACAACCTTAATGTTTCGTGCCAGCAGTCTGGTTCTTTTGTGGTTTAGGTGGAGCCCATCGTTCCTGCACAGGCTTCCTCTATCCCAAAAGTGTCCCCAGTTCCTAATAAATCCAAACCCCTCCTCCCTACACCATCGTCTCATCCACGCATTGAGACTCTGAAGCTCTGCCTGCCTACCTGGCCCTGCGCGTGGAACTGGAAGCATTTCCGAGAATGCCACCATAGAGGCCCTGGATTTCAGTCTCTTTCCCAGCAGCCTAAATGTAGCCTTCAGAACCACTGGCTCCTCTCCAGCACTATGCATAGGTCTATCTAGATGAGTCAAGAGATCCTCCACCTTCACACCAGGCAGACAAGTCACCATATGGTTCTCCTGGTCATTGCAAAACCAGCTATCTGTATTTTGAATGCTCAAATCCCCCATTACTAACACCTGCCTTATCCTAACAACTGATGTTCCCTCCCCTGGAGAGGTATCCTCAGTGCGAGAGGTACCACAACATCCTCTGGAAGGAGGGTCCCAACTATGGGGTCATTTCCCTCTGTTCCTGTTGACTGTTCTCCTTCCCTGAGCCGTTCACCCTCCTTAACAGCACAGGGGCTGTCTGACCTGAGGTGGGACAGTTCTACAGTGTCCCAGAAAGCCTCATCTGTGTACCTCTCTGCCTCCGTTAGCTCCTCCAGTTAAGCCACCCTGACCTCCAAAGCCCATACGCGGTCTCTAAGTGCATTTAGTGCAAGGAGCACACATATGCCACCCGCCCACAGACAGACATGCTACGTTGAGTGCTATAAATAAGGTAGTCCCCACTCTGCTGCTGGGCTTCTGCCTGCATCTCTCCTACGGAAAATTATGGTTTATATAGCTCTGACCTTCCCTTCTTGCTAGCCCCAGTCCCTGGTTAAGTCTTGAGCAATGAACAAGGTTCTAGATTTCAAATCCTTGTGAAGTAGTTCATAATTTACACCTGCCAGCCACAGGTGTGGCTGGTATATAAATCTATAAATTGGTATAACACACAGATCTACAAACAAACAAATGACTCAATGGTCTATCTAATCGGGCAGCCCCTGTTCCAAAAATGTCTGTAAAGTCAATGATAGTTTTGGGGTGGGGAGTAGAGAAGGAGGAGGAGAAAAAGAATGAGAAGGGGAAGGATAAGAAAGAGAAGGAGGAGAGGAAGTAGGAGGAGGAGGAGGAAGAGGTGATGAAGAAGGAGGAGGAGAAGTCAATGTTGCCAGAGAGCATATTTCATTAGTAGATTTCAAATCACTTTATAAAGCTGATCAATCTGATTGTAGTTCAGTCTCATTGTACTGAGAGTACATAACTGTGGAGTGTCCAGCACCCTCAACACTCAACCTCTCACAGCTTCCAATTCCCCCTAAATAACACAGCATGGAGCCCTTCCTCTTGTAAAGAGGTCTCCTTGGGTCATCTCCAAACAGCTTAGAAAACCACATCCCAATTGCACAGGTGTAAGTGTAATTAAATATGCAAATGAAGAGCCAATCTCATTACCCTGTCATCGTTGCTGGCTTCCTCCCCGGCTGGATTTGCCTTTTCCAGGTAGTATTTCTGTATTTCTCTAAGCAGGTTTTCTTCCTCTTCTGCCTCCGTGGCTTTCTGCTCTTCTGACAGTGTTTCTAAAGCTCGATACACATCCTGGCCCAGTGTGAGATGGATTTCCTGTCCTGCCTCTGGCCTGGAGTGTAAGTCCTGCTTCAGAGCACCATGTTTCTCCTTGAAGCGACGGATTATGTCCTTCACCTTTGCTTCCTCCAGCTCCCTGTACTTCTCCTCCAGGGCCTTGGCCTGCTGCTGCCTCTTCTCCATGGCATGTCTATAAATCTCACTGGTGAGACATCGGCCTCCGTTGGCCTGCACCATCCCCTCCACCACCTCCCTCAGCTCACGGATCTGCTCCTCGCGCTCCGAGCCCGTCGCTCTGTTGTTGAGAGCGCAGCAGCGGTTCCCACAGGCTGCCACCAGCCCCCAAAGAGTTTCCGGGTGAACAGCACGATCAGGTACCTCATGGCCTCCTCTCCAAAGATCTCTCGGACCTGCCCGGCAGCTGCCTGGTCCTCGGCAGTGTAGCAGCCCAGCTGTGTGACCAGCAGCAGCGCGTGGGGGCCAGGGCAGGACAGCGCGATGCAGCGAGCGATCTCCTGGGGGGAGGCTTCCACGGGGCCCTTTGTGCCCAGAATATCGGGAGTGTCGATAACCAGAACCTCCCTCCCGTTCCACGTCCCCCTCCCCGCGGCGCACGTCTGTGTTACTGGCTTTGCACTGAACTTGGACTCAAACTTGATCTCTCCGAGGAGGGTGTTTCCTGTCGCACTTTTCCCAGCTCCCGTTTTACCAACGAGGATGATTCTCAGGTCAGGTCCTCCGGGGCTGTGGCCGCCAGTGTGGGAATCTGTGGGGAACAGGTGAGATTCATCACATCAGTGCCCAGGTCAGAAGGTGGTGATGGAGAGACCAGAGCTGGGAGGAGAATTGGTGCTGGACACGCCCACCATCCCCCCTGCCTCTGTGTCTGCCAGTGAACGGTGAGCAACCGGATGGGTTTTCTCTCACTTCCATTCAGAATTAGTCCCTGGATCCTGCCTCTAAATAACACTGGGCTTATTACTTTAAAAGGGGCTCTTAAGATGATCCTGGCAATTACAGACCAGTAAGTCTAACATCAGTACCGGGCAAATTAGTTGAAACTATAGTAAATAAAATTGTCAGACACATGATGAGCATAATTTGTTGGGGGAAAAGTAAGTCAACATGGTTTCTGTAAAGGGAAATCATGTCTTACTGATCTACTAAAGCTCTTTGAAGGGGTCAACAAACATGTGGACAAGGGGGATCTGGTAGGTATAGTGTACTTCGATTTCCAGAAAGACTTTGACAAGGTCCCTCACAAAGGCTCTTAAGTAAAGTAAGTTGTCAGGGGATAAGAGGGAAGGTCCTTTCATGGACTGATAACAGGTTAAAAGACAGGAAACAAAGGCAGGAATAAATGGTCAGTTTTCAGAGTGGAAAGAGGTAACCAGTGGTGTTCCCCAAGGGTCAGTCCTAGGACCTATCCTATTCAACTTATTTATATATGATCTGGAGAAAGCGGTAAACAGGGAGGTGGCAAAATTTGCAGATGATACTAAACTGCTCAAGATAGTTAAGACCAAAGCAGACTGTGAAGAGCTTCAAAAAGATCTCACCAAACTAAGTGATTGGGCAAGAAAATGGCAAATGAAATTTAATGTGATAGATGTAAAGTATTGTACGTTGGAAAAAATAATCGCAGCTATATGTACTATATGATGGGGACTAATTTGGCTACAACTACTCAAGAGAGAGATCTTGGAGTAACTGTGGATAGTTCTCTGAAAACATCCACTCTGTGTGCAGGAGCAGTCAAAAAAGTAAATAGAATGTTAGGAATCTTTAAAAAAGGGATAGAAAATAAGACAGAGTATATCATATTGGCTCTCTATAAAACCATGGTATGCCCACATCTTGAATACTGCGGATAGATGTGATTGCCTTGTCTAAAAAATCGTATATTGCCATTGGAAAAGGTTTGGCATAAAACATGATTAATGAGTCCCATATGAAGAGAGATTAAAAAGACTTGGGACTTTTCATCTTAGAAAAGAGGAGGCTGATAGAGGTCTATAAAATCATGAGTGATGTGGGGCGGCGCGATTTTTAAATGTCCGCTAGTGCGGACTCCGTGGAACGAGGTGTACAGCTAGTTCGGATTAGGAAGCCTTGTCCGAACTAGCTAGTTCGTGCCGCGTGTAGCCGCGGGCACGGAGTCCACACGAGCGGACATTTAAAAATGGCGCCACCCGGGATCATGCAAATGAAGCCCGGGAAATTCAAATCCCGGGTTTCATTTGCAACTCCATATGACTACATTAACCCCCCTAGTTCAAACTAGAGTGGCTAAAGTAGACATACCCTCTTTAATCTCTATGGCGTCTGCAGGGAGGACTGCCTGTGGAGCCGTCTGCCTGGTTGGGCTCACGCCATCCGAACTTATTGAATCTGCAACAAGGAAAGATGCTGCACTGGTCTGGGGAATTTTTGTGGCATTGCCCCCAAGTAGAGTTAGTTGATGTGGTTTTGTTGATGTGGTTGTGGTACTGCCCCATATGTCGGAAAGTTGTATTGAGTCTGGACATAGAGAACTATAGGTTCCTGCGGTTCTGGGAGGACCAGTGTTGGTTGCTGCCCCAAAAATGGACAAGGTTCATAAAGAGAGATGCATCTAAATGTGGAAACGTAAACTGTCAAAAACAAATAAAAAGAGAAAAAGAGAGAAAATTTTTTGTGAAAAGTGAATGAGTATGAATGTGATGATTGGCGTATGAATGCCAATGCCCAGGTCTGAGACTTGAGCTGATTCCAGCTGCACCAGGGCTCTCCCACGAGGGAGCTCTGAACTCAAAGGGGGAAAGGGGTCAGCTGAACCTCAAGACCCAGCGGATATGTGAGGGAGTGACGACTCCCCTTATTTCATGAGCTGCTGATCATAGAATCATAGAATCATAGAATAATAGGACTGGAAGGGACCTCGAGAGGTCATCGAGTCCAGCACCCCGCCCTCAAAGCAGGACCACACTCCGTCTACACCATCCCTGACAGATGTCTATCTAACCTGTTCTTAAATATCTCCAGAGAGGGAGATTCCACCACCTCCCTTGGCAATTTATTCCAATATTTGACCACCCTGACAGTTAGGAATTTTTTCCTAATGTCCAATCTAAACCTCCCTTGCTGCACTTTAAGCCCATTACTCCTTGTCCTGTCCTCAGAAACCAAGAGGAACAAATTTTCTCCTTCCTCCTTGTGACACCCTTTTAGATATTTGAAAACCGCTATCATGTCCCCCCTTAATCTTCTTTTTTCCAAACTAAACAAGCCCAGTTCATGAAGCCTGGCTTCATAGGTCATGTTCTCTAAACCTTTAATCATCCTTGTCGCTCTTCTCTGTCCCCTTTTGTCCTGTCCTCAGAAACCAAGAGGAACAAATTTTCTCCTTCCTCCTTGTGACACCCTTTTAGATATTTGAAAACCGCTATCATGTCCCCCCTTAATCTTCTTTTTTCCAAACTAAACAAGCCCAGTTCATGAAGCCTGGCTTCATAGGTCATGTTCTCTAAACCTTTAATCATCCTTGTCGCTCTTCTCTGTCCCCTTCTGTGTGACGGGGTGAAGCAACCCCGTCACTCACGCGGAGCGAACGGGGCAGCCGGGGAGCAGACAACCGGCGCGGCAAGCCCGAGCGGGGGAGAAGGGACGCATCATCACGCGGCGCCAGGGCGCGCCGGTGGTGACGTCATGGGGGCGACGCCGAGGAAGGCGGAAGGGAGGGGGAGGATAAAAGGAGGAGGGGCAGCCGGGGCAAGGGGGTCGGAGCCGGCAGGGCCGGGGGCAGCGGGGCCAGAC